TTTTTTTTTTTTTTTTTTTTTTTTTTTTTTTTTTTTTTTCCTTCCCCAGTACTCAAAGCACTTGCTTAAAAAAAGATACAGAAAGATACTCAAAGAAATCAACTCACCTGATGCACTGTTGGAAGAGATTTGACCACAGCTCCCAAACTTGTGCTCTGACCATCAGTGAACAGCTATGCTTATCATGATAAGTTGTTTTTAAACCAAGAGTGATGTGCAGGGAAAATTAAGATTGTATATTGATGGAAAAAATGTAAAATGCTCTGAAATATAGGAGATAGGGTGATGGAGACTGACCCCAGTCACCTATTATTTGTGTAATTTTAATTACTCTCTCTTTAATTTAAGCAGCTGACACACACTTTCAGTGGTGTTCAGAAAGTTAATAGGGCAGCTGAGTAAGGACTTTAAGGTCATATTCTTGTCCTTTGGTGCTTATTTTATTTATTAGTTGCTTCATTAATATTCTTAGGATTACAGAAATGATCATTTATGTATATAATACATCTTACAATACTATACATTGATGAATATTGTTCTGTTTATTTCTAAATATGTCTTCTTGATTTTTAGTAGTAAATTTAAAATTTGTATCAAGTTTCTTCCTTCTTCACATTATTTCTTAGTTATGATATGTAGTCATCAGTTTGCTGACAATAATTTTCCCAGATGTCACTCTTTGATTCCACCCTTCCCAACTGAAATTAAAATATTGACAAAAATCATTTAGTATGAGCAGAGAAAAAATGTGAAGAGCCATTTAAAGTATAGGAAGTTCTACATGTATTCCTTCTATACATATGCATTTATGATTCATTTCCAGTTACATAAAGAGTAATGTGTGTAAAATTAGTATGCTGTCTCATGTTCTTCTTGTATGTAGATAAGTGATGACATTTAATTGGCATTACTTTTTTTAAACCAAACAAACTACTATTTGCAATGTGAGAATAGAGAGAACCTATTGTTTCTGGGCCATGATATCTCCAGTGGAGTTGAAGGGGAACTGGTAGATTACTGGAGTGAATGGAGTTTGCCTTGTTCATTTCTTAAATCTTTTTCCCAATTTATTCACCCTCTTGCTTATGCATCTGTCTTTGTCGATCAGCACTGTGCAGGAATGGAAAGTAAACACAGAATTGGCTGAGGACCTGCAAGTTGCAGCAGTAGCTCTCAAGAACAAAGGTGCTTCAAGCATGTGGTTATCCAGTTCCTGAGGATAGAAGAGTGGACATGGTGCCATTCCATCATCCTCCAGCCAAACTTTCATAGTAGAGATAGAGGGAGCATGCAAGGTGCTGCCTGTGATACGTCTTGTGATGAGGCTCCAGGAGAGGCTCCTTTGCTCCCTTCTCTGGCTGGAGAATGCTTGCTTCTTCCCAGCATTTCTTTCTGAGCAATTCTACCCCTTTGTGCAGGTCCGTCTCCCACTGCTCCAATGAGTACACAACTTGAGAAGAAGAAGAAGAAACTCCCTGCTCCAATCACTCAGATGGAGAGGTGACTTTGGACAATGCTTTGCAACTGTAGTTGAAGACAATGAGTGCACTAATGAGGTGAGTCAGAAAAATTATCACTGAATGGATGACTATTAAAATATTTCTCATAATTCCTTGTGTGTTATCATGAATATTGTTTTTAATTCATTGGCACATTTTATTACTTTTCTGTTTAGAGGTTACCTTATGATGGACCTTTAGTATCCCTTAAGGCTTTACAAACAAGACTGTGTATCAACAGATTGTGTGATACAGTGACACACGTCAGTAAGTATTCTCTGTTTTAAATTCATTGCAGTGAATCGATCTCGTAGCATTAACAAATCTTTTTACATATCATCCTGAAATATCTATTCAACTTAAACAGCATAGTTTAGACATTGAGCAATGGGCAGTGAGATCACAGTCAGCATTGTAATCTGAAGAATTATAGAGTTTTAAGGAGGAATGTGTTTTCCTGCTGTCAATAAATGTTGTAAATCCTGAATCAGACAATGCTGCAGTGATATCTAGACAAAGCAATCTAAAAATGTGTAGCAGAACTGCTAAGTCACGGCCTGAACCAGAAATTGAGCACCTGGTGGGAAGGTAGGGGCAATCCAAGGCACCTCAGGTGCATGCAATGCCCCTGAGTGACTGGAAGGGATGGAGTCAGAATCCCCCACATCCCAGACCTCATATAAGGGCTGGCAATAGAGGCAATAGTATCTTGCTGGAGCTCCCTGCATACCTGAGACCTTTGAAAGGTAAGCAGCTCTTTTCCTTCATATCTGTGTCTATGGTTGCTGCATTTGGGCTTGTCTTACTCAGTTGCTGCAGTCAGAAGCTTTGCCACCCTGCTGGTGGCAAATCTATCACATTACAGTGTTACAAGATAGCATAAAATTATCAAGAGAAGGAAGGGAGTGGGCTACAGAGAGCTTAGCACTTCACAGGGTTTGCACATGTGGTCAAGGCAAATTTCAAATACTTTGTATTGTCATTGTTCTACATTTAGTTGCACACTTGCTAGGAAATTCAGTGTTTGCTCTGTCATATAAGCAGATAGGCTTCATCATTTTAATCCCAGCATGCTAATGGCCCTAGTGTGAATACAGACTTCTCAATTAAATTAAAGTAATTTGAGGAAAGAACAAGTCTCACAGGCTCAAGTAAGGTTTCAATAACAACAGCAAATTCAGCTGTCTATTCTTGAAGTCTTTTTCATTGGATGGTGTGTTGCTGGGATTTCTAGTTCTACATAGATTGTTTGCAATCTGAAAAGCATGTGTTCCAGTAAGAAATTCGTGAAATAGTCTGCAATACAGCTATGCTGCTGAAAGTGCATTTGTACTTCCCCTAGAGTTAAATTTCTGAGATCCCTTGGAGTTAGCCTGGTGATATGGAGCCCTGATGCTTTTTCTGGGATCTTCTTTGATGTAGGTCTGTGCGGACTTCTTTCTAAGAGCGCTTCAGATCTGCAGGATATTTTAAGGGCTAGAACAAAATATGTGTCTCTAGCCAAAGAATAGGAATTGTAAATGGGTGAAATGACCCCACATTAATACAACCCATGTAGCCTTATCTATTTACAGTGTTTTATATTTCTAACTACCGGATATTTATAAAAAGTCACTATCTCTATTGGCATTTGACAAAGGACACAGTTAAATGGACCTGGCATTTTCTTATTCATGTTGTCGAGCTACTTGAATTAAGGTTCAGGCATCATATGATACTGTGTGTTTTATGGATAAAAACGATCTGACTCCTGCGTGGGCACCAAGATCTACCTTTGCTTCGAGAGATATTTGCCTTCATTTTTTTTTATTTTTTTTTTAACTTTTATTTTTAACAAATACAAAAATACATTTTCTAACACACTCTTCAGTGATCACCTTAATTTCAGTGCTTAATTTTGCTTCATGTAGGATTGTGTCTTATTTACAAGTCTTTACAGATGTGCCTTCTGGTATACGTGAGAATTTTGTATTATGTTTTTCTCTGAATTGCCCCTCTTTACTTTTCTCCCTTTCTTTGGTTTGTTCATTTTAGGCCATAAATATTATTAAACCACAGAGATTTGTTTCTACTTTCTTTAGTTAATTAAGGACACTGTTGGATTTATTTTGTGCTACCACTAGGAGGGCACAACAAGTGAAATATTGTCTTACTAGATGGCTCATTCATTAGCATAAAATAATCAGTGCTTTTGAATACCAGCACTTTGGCTTATGAGGTTCAGGTTTTTGTGATCTCATCTAGGACGTTGCAGCAGTGGTAGAAGTATAAAGGAGACAGACAGTGTGAATGGGGGAAAAGAAAGAAAGGGAGCATGCAACTTAGCTGTTGAAATTAGCAGGTTTCCTTAAGAAGAAGCATCAGGCACTTAACAAAAAGGAGAGTGCGCAAGTTAAACTTGCCTGGAGTCATATCTATCTGGCACCTAGGACACAACACAGGAGTAAGCTAAAGTAATTCCCTACTCTGCTACTAACAGAGATTGAATAATTAAAAAAAAACATTCGTTCTAGCATATGATTTCTCCTTTGGGTGGGGAAGAAACAAACAAACTACCATATGCTTCTACCAAACATTTCTACTGATTCCATCTGACTTACGTTTGTCAATGTAAAGTGATGTGACCTTTTTTATTTTTTTCCCCAAGAGGGATGATGGTCCATGTTAACATTAAATTTTGACAGACACATGCAAATACTTAATGGATCTTGTATCTACTTTGGGATAATTTCTCACTGAATATCAGAGAATGACTATTTCTCCAGGAACCATTCTTTATCTTTCTCATTCCCCTGGGGCCCCAGTCTGATTTGCCTTCTGTTGGCCCAAACTTAGTGGAAGACTTGGGTTCACCTATAGAGAGAGACCACATGCTTAGACACTACTGTGGACCTCCTTCAGACTCCTTTTCCCCAGGTATTTCTCCACCCTCTCTCTGAGCTTTTTATGATTATATGAAAAATTAATAGGATTCTGAGCCACGTTGCCTTTCCTCCCTAATTGCATCAGAGTGTAGGAAGGTGAAGCAATGATACAGTAGGGGAGGCTGAACCTCCATGCCCAAAACAAGGAAATCTACTTACATAGGGGGCCCCTCTGCGTACAGATGTGGGTGGTGTGACCTATTTCTTGGAGGTTTTATCATTTTTGGAAGAGACACCAGTAATTCATTCTTCCTTTCTGAGGAATAAAATAAGAACCCAGACACATTGATTATTAATCATTCATCTAGGGGCTCTCCTCCCTCTTGACCAATGACATAATCATCAGTGAACAATATGTATGCTATAATTGACATTTGCACACACACAAAAAATCAGTTTATATTGTATGCATCTGCACTAATAAAAATAGTCATCTTTCAAATCCTCCTTTGCAAAGTCTCACTGAACAGACTTCAATATCTATATAGCATTTATTTTGACCTTCGACTCTCTGATTTCTCTCCACTGGGGAACTGTATGCAATACAATATAACAGACGCATATTTTATTAAAATACATGTTTAGGCTACAGTCTTCAGAAAGTTCCAGTTAGGTGCACAGAAAAACACTGCATCCAGTTGGAGGTTCGACCTATTTAGGTTTCATGTAAAATTTCACCTATTTCTGTCACTCTGAGAATCAGTTGCATAATTACCTTCTAAACAACTCTGTTGATGAGTTGTGTAATTACAGTAACTCAACAGGTCATCCTAAATTGAGTCTGTGCTTCTGCTTGTTTAAGATCTCTATTTTGATATCACAGATAATTTAATGTTATCTATCTATTGTGGTAACCAAAAGTTCTAGACAAAAATCAGTCATTCCTACTTATAGATGAGTCATTTTAGCATGTTCTACTTCCAGAAAGATTATACATCTTGTTTTTCTTTGCTTTATTTTATTTTGAGAGAGAATAACGGAGCATACCAGTTGCTACTGCAATTGTATAAGTTCTTTCTTTCATAAAAGACACCCAGATGTATATGAGCGCTTGGATAAGTAGAAGACAAATATGTTTGTTATTGATGGATTGTTTTATGTGGATATTTTGTTTTGTTCTTTAGCAATGCTAATTAATAACATCTAGGCTTACAGCAAGCAATTACACATAAGAATTCAGACTTTTATAAAAATACTATAAGGTGCTTGATACCATTCTTACTATGCATGTTAAAAGAATAACGTTTTACTTGTGTGTCCTAAAGAAAAAAGCTAACTTCAAATCTGATGGAGTGGTCATGGATGAAGCAAAGCAGTGATATGGTGAGCACTAGGAAATCGTACATCTTCAAGACCAGGGAGGGCTCTATGTTATTGGTGTGTACTTTGAGAAGCGTGATAAGTCACTACAGAAAGTGCTGTATTTTATTTGTAAGATAACATACTTACAATATTACAATATTGCACATGAAGAAATTAACTGTATTTTGAAAATATTCTCTTTGAGGCACCAAGATCTGTTACTTTAAACAGCAATTCCATGCAGAAGCAAATGCTGAAATGTATGAGAAAATAATCTTAAGAATTTTTCTTTGGAGATGTTACTACTGAAGTAATTTTAAATAAGGAGGAATTTAGCACGTTTGTATTTGTATTCCCAATGTCAAAATCTTTTGTTATCACACTTACACCTCTGTTATTAATGTTAGCCATGGTTTGCAAAAGAGGAAAAGCTAGTTATCAATGAATAATTCAGGCTCCATAACTATCAGACCTCATTATTTTAAATAAGGCCTGGTAGTTCCAGTTGTAACTGGCTAATTGCATCATTTAAACTTAAACTGTTAGAATATTTCACATAATTCATGATTTTAAAAACTTTTAATACATTCAAAACTACTGTAGTACATAGGGCAATTTGCTTTAAATCAGACAGAGAGAACAAAGAGACATTCTCGTTGTGGTGCAAGTCCTCAAGTGGTTAAAATAAAAAGAAGAAAAACTGTGGAGAAACCAATATATCCAGCAGTTAAAATGAAATTTTATCATTAGACTGAAATGGAATGAAATACTTGTAGAAGTGAAAGCTTAAAAAAAATTGAAACATCTGAAACTGACGAAATAAAATATATTCTAACACCCAATGAAATTATATTGCAAAATCATTCACAAGCTATTAGTGAAAATAGCTCTTTTTTTTTTTTTTGTGGCCATATACTCTGCTTTGGTTTGATTTTTGGCCGTAAACACAATTCCCAGAGCAGCTAAAAATATATGGCATAATGATCTTTAACAAAAATTCATCCAGTGTTTACCAAATGGCTATAAGGAGTTACTATTTGTTAATAATTTGTCCAGTAATATTAGCTTATAGTAATACAATCAACAATATTTGGTGTTTGGTTTATTTGTTATTGGTTTGCCCTTAATAACATAGACCTGATAAAGTGAGAAGGAAACATATTTTACATATATTTTCCTTCTAAGAATACACAAAGCAGGAAGAGTCAAGGGTCATTTGCAAACTAGACTAAATTTAAAATACTGTTTTAATCTTTCTCTTCAGCTTCCTGCTCAGATTACATTCAGCAGTTTGATTTGTATCATGTATCTGTAAAGTGTGAGAAATTAATATATACTTCTAAATGCGACTTCAAAAAAAAAAAAGACAATACATCTCAGTTGTATACTGAAAGCTATTGCTATGTAGTACATAAAGGTATGTACAGTAAAAGAAGTTTATCCTCATTTCCCAGTTGAGATATTGAAGTCCAAGATAATCTATATACTAATTTTGTAGTCTCTCAAACGTGCATACAGATGCACTCATCATGCTTCTGAAACAAAATCTGGGACTTGGAGCATCCCTTACAACTTTAACAGAATGCTGTATGAGAAATCATGGTAGACTGCCTGAGCATTGTAAAAAATGAGAAAAACTTGCATTTGCTGTCTCTAGAATCACTTTGATGTCTTATTTATTTAATTAAAATAACAATATAAAACACCCACAACTCTCAGCTCTCATGTTGAAACTATAAATTTCAGCCCACGTATCCATTAAGAACATCATTAAGGCTGTGGAGGTTACACAGCAAGGGCTTGGATCTTATCCGATATGTAGCAGCCTTGCATTGCTGGATATCTTGTAAAAGCCATCCCTACATTTCTGCATCATACTGGAGGTCATTACCACATACATTCAGAAACTGTGTGTGTTCTTGTGTTTGAGAGCAGAATTAGTGCACCGCACGGATTAGCTTCCTGGATTTTCCACGTGCTGAAATTGAGCAATTTCTACTTGTGGGGAAAAAAAAGAGAAGAAAAAAACAAAACAAAAACAAAAACAAAAACAAAAAAACAAAACAAACAAAAAAAAACAACAACAACCAAAAAAAAACGCCAAAAAAACACAATATCATCCAGCAATAATTGGTCCCCACAGAGATGCAGACTATCATATTCTCACATTCTTCTGAGCTCTGTAAATTAAAAGCCCAGGTTTCTTGGAAGATGTATCTCTTAAAAAGACAGACAACATCAGGTTGAGTCTTGCAGATCTTCGCTTAATGAACAGTGAAAGACTGTAAAAATTCTCTCCTGGCTCCTCAATTCTGGTCTTGCTCTTCCAAGGAGATTTGCACCTCTGGGCAGGAGACAGCATGAATTTTCTGTTCTGTAGGTAAGTCAATTAGATATAAAATTTTCTATGTTACCTGCATGTGGTCTAATAATGTTGCATGCAAGCTCTGATAATTATGAACTTGGAACACCTTATTTTCCCAGTTGCTATGTGTTCTGTTGGTAATCACAATGACAGTGGTTTTCATATTATAATAAGCTGGTATGCCATAAAATAAGTAATTATTGCAGTTAATACTTTGAGTATCATACAGTCCTAAGCTTCAACTTATTGGAGATGTCCATGCAGTATGTCTCAAGTGAGTTCAACCTGAAAGTTATGCTGGGAGGTCTAATTTCAAAGAAGCAAATGCAAAGCTATGTAAAAATACAAATAGATAAAAACAGGTCCTGCATGATTATGGTCAGGTAGATGTAGGGAAGAGAAAGGCAGAAGAGTTTGAAGGTGATCCATCACAAGTGTTCTAGATTCTTACAGTTGGCTGTAAACTTATCCTTATAGATGATTTTAAACTCATCAGCTTCAAAACCCAAAATTGTGTATGGTGACACAGCACCTCTCTAAACACATCCCATTCTGGTGGTCGAGACTAATGTTTAATGGTCAGATTTGAGACTGGTGTTCAGAGCTAGAGGTGCCCCACTGAGGTCAAAGCTCATCTACTTAGTACCATGAAGCTACATTTGTTTATGGGATTATTATTGTCTTATATGAGGTTTTGAGTTCCTCACATTTAACTCTTTAGAGATCTACGGAGTCAGCATTTGGAAATAATGACTTTATAGCAAGGATAAACTAGGAAATAATGGTGCCTTGATATTATAGTTGGTATCATGGAATGTCCAATAACACAGAATAATATTCATGACTATATATAGGCAAGATGAAATAATGTAGCAATACTCGAAGAAATTGTGGATGTATAAGTCTGAGTTTAAAAAAAAAAAACTCCTTAAAATATTATGATTTTAAAAATCTTAATGTTATAATGATAGTATTTCTCATTAAATCCATACTGACACCAATCCACATCCTTACTTGTTTTTTCCCCTGTTATCTGACACCTATGGGATATAGTCAAATAAAAAATTAGTAAAAACTAGTTGCCTTCCCAAGGAAGAAAATATTTGCTCTTCTTGTCTTGCAGTGTCTGGAGACTTGTTTACTGTGTTCACTTCCTGTAAGCTTTGTCAGCTCAGCTGTCTGATCTGCAGCTTCATTTTTAAATATTTTTCTCTGAAAAGACACCAAGTAAGTCTCCAAATGTTTTATGTCTATGGCCACATCAGATACTACAACAAAAAGGTGGCTTATTCCAGTCTGCCTTGAAATTATCCATAGTTGGCTTCACCCTTGTCAAGGGCTGACTCCCTGGAAGGAAACGTCAGGTTTAGGGTATGCTGGATATGTTTCATCAGTGAAAGGAATCAAGTTTTTTTTGTGTGCAGAGCATGGTCTTAAAGTCAGCCACTTACCCAAAAAAAAAAAAAAAAAAAAAGCTTTTTTTTTTCCTCAGAGTTGTAGCCTCATGGTTGAAAAATACATGGTAGCTGGAGACAGTACAGTAAGTGGTAGGTGCTGATACACTGAGTAGTGCTCCTACTGCGCATATTCACTCTGAAGGGTCATTCAAAATGTGTCTCTACATAAAAGCCCCAATGTAAATAATGTCAACTGTCTATGAAAGCAGGTGATTTAGGTCACCAAGCAGCGTATGTTGGTTAAATTGTATTATTCTTTCAAATACTTAATGTACATCTAAGCTATTCACTTGTTAGAGTGAAAGGAGGCAAGGATAAAAGAGGCTTGTTTTTACTTTGCTTGTCTATAAAATCTTCACTATGGAGAACCATCCACTGTTTTTTAAAAGAAAGCAAACAAATGGAGGCATGCAGTGCCATTGAACATTATAAAAAAATGTTTGGGAAGACTGCGCATGAGCTGGGTGAAGAGGGAGATCTGAAACTAGCTGCAAATGATAAGACGATACTGAAATACATGCGAGCATCACTTGAGAACTGTGAAAGAATAAGGCAAGGGTTTTTTTATTGGGATGAAAATGTCACCGAGTGTCTCATTATTCTTAGATCCATTCTTATTGCAAGAAAGCAAAAGACCTTAGTGAAAAACAGCAAGAAAACTCATTATTTAAAGTGTGTATAAAAGCAGAAAATGGAGTTAAATTTCAGGCTTTAAAAGCTCTCATTTCTCAGCTTTGATTGAAATCAGGCCAAGTCTTGCTTGAGTATCTTGAAAATCCCTTGTATCTTTTCTCCACAGTGACCAGCAATTCTACCTGTGTAACTGGGCAGAGGAGGCTTTTGAAATTCAGACTATTACCAGCCTTTGCAGGAGAGGCTAATGGCGTCCAAGAAACCTCCTCCTGTGTTTTGCATTCGAAAATCTTGCAGTTGGTCTTAGGGGAGCCCAGGGACTGTGGTGTTATCTCTTGCACAGGGGAGCAGGTCCCCAGGGTGAGACTGAGCTACCAACCAACTGAACTTGCAGAGTGGGCCGGGTTTGCAGTAGATGAAGGCTTCCTTCATTACCTACTGCTGCTTGGGATGTCAAAGTAGGGCAGCAGCTAGGAATCCATGTGGTACCTGTTGCACAACATGGTTGCTTAACAAATTAGAAATCTTATAATCAGATATATCTCACCATGGGAAGATGTTATTACTATTCTTTGTTTCAGAGAAAATTGACAAGAACTTCTCAGCTGTGGATAAATATTTCTACAGTGTTTTCAACGCAATCCTTTTATATGTAAGTGCATCGTGAATTTTCCTAAGCACATATTTTTAAGGAAGGAAACATGCAACAACAGATGCATTGAGCATAATTCTGCCAAGTACAAACATAGGAGTGCTGCTGTTGACTGTGAGCATAGAGCAGTGAGCTAAGGTAGAGAACAACAGTGTTTGACAGAGCTGGTCACAGCTGACATTTCTGTTCTTGATCCAGTGAATCATCTGAATCCTGTAAGAACATTCATCATGGAAACAGTCTGAGATGGAGAAATAAACTGAGCTCTCTTACAGAATCTATTCTTGACCCAAACTGGTGATGTTAAGAAAGGGCTCTGATAGCTACATATATTCTGTTCACTCATAAATAATAGGGGGGCACTGTTTACTGTTTGTAGTCCTTGTGGTTACAGTGGGACTGTCACTGTTTTATTAGTTACTTTTGCACTTTCTGATGTTCCTGTAAAACAACATTCTGTTTCAGGAGATGCGCCTGTCAAGGAAGCAGGAGAGGGTGGATAGCATGATGAGTGCCTTCGAACACTTTGTTTATGTCTCTGCGGGGTGGAAGTATTTTGTTAACTCTGTGCTCACAATGTGGATCAGTCGCTGCTGCCAACATAAATATTTTCAAATATTTCACCAAGAATTGCTGCAAAGCTACAGGAGATTTTCTGCCTATATGACTGAGATTGTGTCTCCTTTGATTTCAACTTCATTTAATTTTGCAGAAGAGGCAAACACAAGATGAGTAATAGTGCAGCCCTCCAACTTGCATTATTGATACTTCCAAAGTGTCCAGTTCAAACAGGGGCAGAATGTTAACAGAACTGAGAGTATCAGTCTAGTGGCTGAAGGACAAAAATAATCTGCCTTTTTGATCTTTGCTGGTCAACAAAAGCATGCTTTGCTTGCTCCATAAGTCTTTCATGTGAGAGAAAATGGACAGAGATGAAAACCCACGTCTGATCTAACGCTTTTGCAAGCTGTGTTTTCTTACACCCACAGGAGATGAAGAGTTCTGGCCTTTGAGAATAATGGACAAAGGTAAAAGAGAATTCCCTTCTGTCGTGTAGAAAGTCACTGATAAACTTTATTCTGTGTATAAAACGTGCTATGGATGCAGGGTTATCATCCTTAAGTACCTACTTTCTACTGAAATGAACTGGTCAGAAAATTGGAGGCTCCAGGAATAAGCCAGACCCTCAGTTCTCTACGTGGATCACAGTGTGAGCTTTAGAAAAAATATTTATAACACACGTCATCACTTTTCTAACAGATTTTGTTTGGAGAAGCTGGATCAGACAGAGCTGGAAGACTGATAGATTGTTCTGACCACTGACTTGGAGTATAGACAGCTAACTGAACCAGTAATTCAAAATGTTTTTTTGAATAAATTTAGTGTTCTATTTCCTGCCTATAAAATACCTGCAAAAAATAATAATAATAAAAAAAAACATTAAATGTATTAATTCACTAATTGGTCTAGCTCATTTTTTTTTTTTTTTTATTACCTCAGGATAGAAAAACTGGAAATAATCCGCTGATCTTTATTCCTGAGTGCATGAGTAGTGCTTTCATAGTGAAAGCAAGAAGATAGGGGAATCTATGGGTTTTTGATGCTCTCAGGTATTGGGAAGTTTAGGAACAAGGAACAGTGAATGAAGATAAGTGGATTTTAGAAGAATAATCCTATGAACTGCTCTTTTTTTTTTTTTTTTTAATGGCTGAGAAAGAGGAATATTTTTTGATTGCCGTACATTTATTTCTCTCATTTTTAGAACCTGCATTAACAGTCCTTCATTGTCCATGTGTCGCTCAGATGACCAAGGCCAAACCCTACTAACACTGGGCAGGACAGGAGCATGGTGTGAAGTGAAGAGCAAGAGAAAGTTTCACAGGATAAGTGATGGCCAACTGAAGTTTCTCTTTTGTGAGTTTTACCTTTTTCATCCTATTTGACATTTCTGAAACGGAGCTGTATTACAGATTAGTAGCCCATGGCAGTAGGCTGGAGAGATGAGATTTTAGTGTGATATGGTACACAGGCAGTGGAGGGAGGGGAGTGAGGGTAGGGGAGCAAAGAAAATGTGTGAAAAATTGAAATGACAAGGTCTTGTTGATAGCTTGGTTGTGGGAGCTGTTGAGGTAGTTTCTTGCATTATGATTAGAGATGGGCTTATTCTCATGAATAAGATCAGCTGATCTAAACCTTCATTCAGTTCTCTGAGCAAACTCAAGCTGAGCCTAAGGTAAGGTTAAGACAAATCTAGCACTACTGGTTTTGGTTTCCTAGCCCTAATGTGCTAAGACTCATCTCACAATGGAAAGCTAGAAGCTAGAAAAATGTTGAAGACATACATCCAATTTAAAATCACTCAGTCTGGAAAACCTTTGACAATAACAGTTTTACACCATTTCTAGCCTTCCATCCATAATGAAGAGCTTCATATCCCCTCTGATAACCATCCTAGTAGCAAAATGAAACCAAGTCTGCAAACCTCACAAATTTCAGCCCAGGTTTGTTTTTTTTTTAATTACTTTCTTCTTCAGGTGAGATGCCAAGCTTTGGTCAAACCCATGAGAGCGGAGTCTGCATATGACGACTTGCATTGGGAACTGCACTGAATATAGCACACAATCCATCTGCAAGTCATTTCTCTTCAGCTTTATCCCGTGGGAAGCAGGTTTGTATTCAGATTTAGTCTACAAACAATTCTACGAAAGCTGAATTTCTGCTGTTCTGTGGTGTGCCATGTGTGAGGGCTAAGTTCTTCCTGTTTTGTGCAGCGTCTGCCTAATGCAGACAAAATTCCTCCTTCTCACAAGGATTCTTGCAGAAAGCAAAGCCAGAGAGCAAGGGCAAATGGAGACAAGATGTAGATTACCTTGGACTCCCTGTTTTGAAACACTTGCCAAGCTCATTGAGGTAATAGTTTTGATTTGGTAGCGTAACAGAATCCATACACAGCCTGTTTCTTAAAAGTGCAATCAGCATTGTAGGCTTTCTATCCTTTTTTTGAGTTAATAATGTCAGTGCTCAGCTCTTAGGTATTACAGGTATTGGTGATGATACAGTGGGGCAGAAATATATGGGATACCAGTGTGTTTTGAAGTGGTAGTTCTTGAGTCAATAAAATAATGACCTGTATCTGTATAAGAAACGTTTTTCGTGACCATTTCTATTCTCAGTGTGCTTTACAGACCTGACAGCTGCATCTCTTTCAACTGTGGCAATGCAGAGCAGAGCAGCTCCTCCAGCTGAGGCTACAGGGACTCTGCTATGCAGGACTTGAAGAGCGAGGATGAGAAGCTCTACTTGTTCTCTGCATCAAGGTAAATAGTTGCCTTAAAATTTATTCTCATAGGAAGTTTATTTTTTCATCATCTCTTTTTTTCCTTCAGGAATATGTAGCAGTGGAATAAGGTAAAAGTCTATCGAAGAATCCTTTATTCCTGTGTACAAAACCTGAATTTAACCTTGCCAGTGATTTCAAAAGATTTAGTTTATTATTTATTTTCTTGGACTTCCACAGTCTAGACAAGTCTCCACAATTAAAAATTCATAATAGTTTTCTTCACTGATTCTCAGACATCTCTGCAGAACATGTGATGTCTCAAAGCTTCAGAGCTCTGTGCATGCATCAATACTTGCAAACTGAGTTCAATGAACTTGATGCTTTTTTTTAAATTCGTAGTTATCATAGTATGATTAGTTATTAAAATAGACATACTTTGCATGCAAAAATAACAGCAATTTTATGGCCGCACATTTAGTACATGGCTACTGCTTTCTTCTTTCTAAAATCTACAGAAGACACGTGACTTTGATGTCAGTAAAGCTTGTGTCATAATCATCAAATGGAGCTGGTGCCAGATAAGCCAGATGGATCTTTAAACCAACAATTTGTATTTGTTTTTTATATCAATGACTTATTTGTCATCCATGAAACTTGCAATAGGACAAAGTAAGAAGAAAGATTTATTCTGAGAGAATAAAGAAAAGAGACCTATTAGGAGCTTGTGTGTTATTATTTGATCAAACAGCACAAATAGATGACTTGCAAAGATCAAGTACAAGACTTGTCTCCAGCTGAGCGCTGCTTCATGCTTTGTACCAGAGCTCAAGAGGGACAGGGACTGAATGGTTATTTTATTCCTGTGTACTGTGAAAAATTTCAGAGCATTCTATTCATATTGCCCATATTGTTTATTTAATCATGCTTTATTACATTACTGACATACTAGCATCTTTCTCTTCTCTCTTACTTTGTAAGAATATGTAGAGAAGCTTTGTCTCTCTTAGACAAACTGTTTTACATACATGTTTGTATACACTGTATAATATCCTTCCTCTGGTGAGAAGGAAAAAAAAAAATTAAAAAGCAATGTGATAAGATAAATAACCACTATGTATCTTTCTTTTTTTTTTTTTTTTTTTTGTATGAAGAATGACTTATGACCAGATATGACTTGCTTTGGCATTTGAGAGAGGTGAGGAAATAAAATAAATATAAAGGAAATACAAACTATTATTTAAACTCTTATCTGTTTTTGTTTTGTTTTCCCTAAATATCTGTTTCTCTCCCATCTTCCTCCCTTCCTCTCTCTCTCTTTTTGTAGTGGTAGATGCTGGAGACCTTCCGAAGGATGTGCATAAGACTGCAGATGTAGGCTGGGGCCAGTTTCCTTTGCCCTTCAGAACATGAGGAAGTTAAGACAAAGAAAGTATGCCTTTTCCATTTGATCTTTGTTTATATATTTTGATTTAAAACGGTAACTTTTCAACAAGCTCTGACTTTTGTCTTACAATATAGACTGTTCCTAGAATTGCATGGCAACAAGCAGAATCCATTTTAAGGGTAGATTTTCATACTTAATTTTATTTATGACATGAACGTAATACTGTGGTTTTATAATAAATCTCACTAACACATGAAAGACTGTTTAAGACAATAATATGAGTCCTCCTTTCAGTTCAGATTCTGTGTGAGAGGGTTAATGTCTGAGCACACTGGAGTCACCCCCGTGGATTAATCCAGTGGGCTCAGACCAGTCCTACTTGACTCTCCAAAACCAGCCTGATAATCAGCAAGTCTCTACACGAAGTTGACGAGTTAAGCAATCACAATGACTTGACCATCAACTTGACCTTTAAGATCCCTTCAGAAGAGATTTGATCCACACTGATTTACTTTATCTCTCAGACTGCAAGATCTGTACTAAAACCCTGATTGACCAGAAGTCTTTTTTTTTTTTTTTTTTTTTTGCCTTATGTTAGCCAATGGCCCAATGTGAAAACAGTAAGTGAAAGTCACACCTTACTGAATTCAAAGGAAGGACTGCTTTCAATGGAGCTAGAATTTCACCAAGCAAACCCTATTGACAGTATTTGGGTCTCACCTGTGTCTGAAGAGATGTGAAAGCTTTTGTGATACCCCACAGTATCACAATATAAAATGTATCTTGCAAGCTACTCTGATGTCTTCATGACACTAATGTGCATTTAAAAATAGTAGTTTTTATTAAAAAATGTACAATGATGACATAAATTATTTACTGAGTTACTGCAAAATGCTGTGTCGCCTGACATGATAATTATATTGTTCCGCCATTCCACTGGTAATGAAAGCCTTTACTTACTTGTAAGTTATTTTTTACTGAACATTAGCAAAACAACATATTGGAAAAATAAAACACTAAAAACAACATTAGGCATTTATGTTACTGTCACAAATGCAAATAATATAGGCATTGATGTTATCCACTGAAGCTTGTCCTCAGCTTTCCATAACCACTACTGAGTATCTTTTATTATTTAGGTTCATCCCTCACAGTTCTTTCAGATGGCATTTCCATAACAAAAACAGATATTTTATGGGGGAGATAAATCATCTGCTTTTGTATCTGCTCCTTTTTTGGCTTTAAGGATGGCTTTCTACCTATCTATTCCCTCATCTATTTCTACCTATCTATTTCCTCATCTCTTTTTATGACTGGGTGACCAGTCTGGTAGATGAGGGAAGGGCTGTTGATGTAGTCTACCTAGACTTCAGCAAAGCCTTTGACACAGTCTCTCACAGGCTTCTGGGGAAACTGGCTGCCTGTGGTCTAAACAGGTATACACTTCTTTGGGTAAGGAACTGGCTAGAGGGCCGTGCCCAATGGGTAGTGGTGAATGGAGTGAAGTCCAGCTTGCGCCCCATTTCAAGTGGTGTCCCCCAGGGGTCGATACTGGGGCCCATTGCTGGGCTGAAGTGAACGGGATGAAGTTCAACAAGGCCAAGTGTCAGGTCCTGCACTTTAGGCACAACAACCCTATACAGTGTTATAGGCTTGGGGATGAGTGGCTGGATGATTGTGAAGAACAGAGGGATCTGGAGGTGTTGGTTGATGCTCGGCAGAACATGAGCTGACAGCATGCCCAGGTGGCCAAGAGGACCAATGGCATCCTGGCCTGCATTTGAAGTAGTGTGACCACCAGCAGCAGGGAGCTGATCATCCCCCACTACTCAGCACTGGTGAGGATGCATCTTGAGTATTGTGTTCACTTTTGGGGCCCTCACTACAGGAAAGATGTTGAAGTTCTGGAGCGTGTCCAGAGAAGGGCAACGAAACTGATGAAGGGTCTGGAGCATAAGTCTTATGAAGAGCAGCTGAAGGAGCTGGGATTGTTCAGTCTGGAGGAGGCTCAGAGGAGACCTCATTGTACTCCACAACTTCCTGAAGGGAGGTTGTGGTGAAGAGGGATTTGGCCTCTTCTCCCAGGCAACGAGCAGGACACGGGGAAATGGCTGCAAGTTGTATCAGAGGAGGTTTAGATTAGACATATGGAAGAACTATTTCAGAGAGTGGTCAGGTACTGGAATGGCAGCCCAGGGAGGTGGTGGAGTTGCCATCCCTGGCAGTGTTCAAGAGGTGTCTGGATGACGTGCTGCGTGATATGGTTTAGTGCTTGTGGTGGCAATGGTGATGAGGAGACGGTTGGACTAGATGATCTTATAGGTCATTTCCAACCTTGTGATTCAATGATTCTATTGATCCAAATAGGTCTGATTCTTTCTGTATTGTATTGATAGAAGTGAAGTGTGGATATGCAGCTGCCACATTATGTATCTTCTATATATAATATTAGCTCTAGGCAAGTGCTAAAAATGTTTTCTGTTCATGCTGATGTAGTTTTCTGATGTTTATGAAATTTTATTTATGTAGGAGACAATTTAAAAAACAAACAAACAAACCCTAAATAGAACAACTACATCTATACCCCAGAAATTGAAGGTGAGAGAAGATGGGTACCTGGTGGTGTAAAGAAGGAAAACCACTGATTAATATCCCATACAATTAAAATTATAAAAGACAAAGCTCTTTGCACACCTTTCCAAAAGCAGTGGCTTGTGCCTGTCTCTCTTATCACAAGAAAAACCTCAGGAAGCAAGCTTTGAGCCAAAAAAAAAAAAAACTAAGAAGGATTCTCACAGTGCCACATATGACTCTTATTTTGTTTTTTATACTGACGTGGTACTCCAAGTATAGCATAAATTAATATTTTCCAGAAGGCAGACTTTGACCAGTTCAGGATGTTTGTTGCTGGGGTCCCTTGGGAGTTGCTCCTTAAGAGTAAAGGGGTCCAGGAAGCCTGGATGCACCTCAAGATGGAAATTTTAAAGGTATAAGAACAGGCTGTTCCTGAATGTGGTAAGGTGAGCTGTAGGGGAAGAAAACCAGTGTGAATGAATGAAGAACTACTGTTGAGACTCTGTAAGAAAAAGACAGTCTATGTCCTCTGGAAAAAGGGGCAGGCCACTTGGGGAGATTACAAGGAAGTTGCTAAGGTTTGAAGGGAGGAAGTTAGACAAAAGCCTAACTCAGATTGGCCAATGCAGTTAAAAGAGAATAAGAAGTCCTTTTACAAATACATCAACAATAAGAGAAGAACCAAGGAGAATTTCCATTCTTTACTTGATGCAATGAGGAATGTGACCACTAAGGATAGGGAGAAGGCTGAGGTCCTCAACGCCTTCTTTACTGCCTTTAATAGACAGATCATTTATCCTCAGGGCACTTTACACCCTGATATGGAAGTCCGGAATGCTATGCAGAATATACCCCTGGTGATTCAGGTGGAGAGAGTTAAAGAGCTCCTTCTCCACCTGGACTGTCACAAGTCCATGGGACCGGATGGGCTCCATCCTAGGGTGCTGAGGGAGCTGGTAGGGGTGATTGCTGAGCCCCTCTCTGCCATCTACCAGCACTCCTAGTTGTCTGGAGAGGTCCCAGAGGATAGGAGACTTCTGATGTGACTCCCATCTACAAGGGCAGTAAGGAGAATCTAGGGATCTATGGGCCAGTCAGCCTGACCTCAGTACCAGGGAAAGTTATGGAGCAAATCATCTTGGGTGACATCACACGGCATGCGTGTGGCATCCAGGAGATCAGGCCCAGCCAACACGAGTTCATGAAAGACAGGTCATGCTTGACCAAACTCATCTCCTTCTACTACTTGGTGATCAGACTGGTAGATTAGGGAAAGGCTGTTGGTGTAGTCTATCTAGACTTCAGCAAAGCCTCACAGTATTCTCCTGGGGAAACTGGCTGCCCTCAGCCTGGACAGGTATACCCTTCTTTGGGTAAGGAATGGGATAGACAGCTTTGCCCAGCAGGTAGTGGTTAATGGAGCTAAATCCAGTTGGTGACCCATTACAAGCTTACATTCTATAAGCACCAGTTTGCCATCAAAGCTACTATCCCAGGAACAAAACAGTTTAGAAACTCACTGATGTTTTACCTTGCAGTTGACCGCAAACAATATTTCAAGGTCTGGATGCCAATGTATGCAATTAAAGAGAATTTGGTGAAGTAGGAGGAGGAGGGGGATGGCTGGTAACTCCCAGTAATAACATGAATGTCAGTTATCTGTTGTCTGACGTTGAACCAAACTGTGAAATATGTGTAATTCTTCTAACATTGCTACTGATGTAGTACCCGATTTTTGTTTTTTTTTCTTGGTACATGTGACTGCTTTTGACCATGACAGGTTTTCATAAATCTGGTGTCATTATAAAACACATGAATTGTGTCACTACTGCTACAACAAGAGAAATCCATCACGGATCAAAGTGCCAGGAAAAGTCCTATTTACTATATAAGCCCCACTTAAGCTTTCCAAATACAGCCTGAGTGGAATTTAAGTGGGCCATAGGCCATGTTTGGTTCCTATACACAAGCATGAATTTTACACTGTAAAAACAAACTGAAATATAAAGCATTTTTCTAATGTAATGCAGAGCTATGTGTAGTTACAAGGACATCCAGGGCTAGATATCTTTGCTAGTATATTACCTTGAATACCATGTTATTTTTTCCAGAATGCAAAACAAAACAATAAAACAGTCCAATATTATTTTAATACTTTTAACATTGGACCTTTAGACTACATAGTATATTATATCTATCTAAACAGAGCTGTCTATATCCTGCTCAGATCACAAGCTTTGCTCAGGGATCATGCCTATCTCCTCATTTGTACATTATCGAGAGTGCTGTAAGCAACCCAAGAACTTCTCTGTTGTGAGAGATTCACTGTAATCAGAAAAAAAATATTACAATCATTTATTTATATATGCAAAAATATAAGCCATTACATTACATAACATATATTTTTGATTGCAGAAAGCAATTGTGTTTCTTCACCATAAAGCTCTTTGACTTAAGAAGCCACTTCAGATCATACTGCATCCTTTTTTTCCCCCACCATACTTAAATGCAATGTTAACTGATGCTTATAAGGTGCATTTTATATAGTAGGTAAAATTGTTGAACTCCTCAAAAATAATTACAGACCAAGCAACATGATGCTTGACTAATAATTAAAAGTCTAGGGAGACATGTCACACCATTCTTTGTGATGAGTAAAACACTTTTTATGATTGATTTCAGCACAGATCTCAGCATCTGTCTCCTTTCTTTCTAAATCTCAGTGTTTACTCAGCATTGCAGGCTATCGTATTCATTTGTTTCAAAGCACTTTAAGAAACTGTGTACCACTAGAGACCAAAAATCTCCACTGAGCTGCTTTGAATCAGATACATGATCTTAAAGATCCTTTTTTGTTCCAGAGCTACTAATTTGTCTCTACTTGAATAAAACAATGGAAAATAAAATACTCTCTTCATCAAGGCTCATGTACCTAATTCAGTGTAATATTTCATTTCAAATTGTCTCATTTTATTCTCTCTGATTCTGTTAAAAAAAAAAAAAATCACTACAGTGGAAGAAAGTCAAACTAGAGATTATATTAGGCCGAGGCAAATGGTATTCACCTTTTATAGTCCCTATGTTTTATAATGAAGATACTTCATTGAAACAATGATG